AGGTTGGAGCATCACGACATTCTCCCCCTGCGCCCTGTGCGCGCGGCAGATATTTGGCACGCGCGCGCTGGCCTGCATGATCCGAAGTGTGGCCCCCTCGCTCCCGCCCCCTACCCCACCCCCCCTGGTCGGGGAGGCGTAAGACTCGGGTACGGGGGACTCGGGTTGGCCTGACGGGGCCATCATGAAAATGACGAGACTCAATCTGGAGCTTGACGCGAACTCCCGCTGCAAACGTCCCACGAACACCGGACCGTCAAAATCCAGGACGCGCTCGTCACAAAACGCCGGCGAACCCGAGCTCCGGCGTACTCCGAGTCTTACGCGCCCCCGAACCTACAGATGAAGCCCGCGCCCGCTGAGAAGCATGGGGTGCTTCTGCGGAGTCCCCCCTCCCTCCTCCTGCACCCCGTGCGCGCGGCTGATCTTTGGCACGCGCGCGCTGCCATGCATGGTCTGAAGTGTGGGCCCCTCGCCCCCGCCCCCCCCCCCCCCCCCCCCCCCATGAGAGCCGCGAATCGCATCGACAAGCCAGATCGGCGATCGAAGTGCAAATCGGGTCGGCGGAAATCGGCGGCCACGTCGGGAGAAGCCGCACCAGCAGAAATCGGCAGGCCAGAAGGCCTCCATGGAGGCATCGGACTCCACGTCGGAACCCGAAACCGAATCGAATCGGAATCGGAGGCCATGGAAATCGAATCGAAGCGAACCGGAGGAAGGAGGAGGAGGAGGGAGCAGGAGGAGGAGCAGGAGGAGGAGGAGGAGGAGCAGGAGGAGGAGGAGGAGGAGGAGGAGGAGGAGACTCTGAAGACTCTGATAGCGGACACTGTCCTCTTCCTTGGGCTCCCCAGGGTGGCGCGGCTGCCACTTCCGCCACCTGGGAGCCCACGCCCCGTGCCAGCCGAGCCCCGCCGACGCGCGCGCCACTAGCGCACTCCGACTGCTGGCCTAGTCCTTGGGCCTCAACCCCGAATCGTAGGCGCACTCCGCGGCCTCCTGTAAGGCCTGCTCCGCCTTCGCCAGCTGCTCTTGGAGGTATTGAACATTGACTGTGGCCGCCAGCACCGAAGCCGAGAGGTCCTTCTCCTCCTGGGTGTGCTGGAGGTCTTGCAGCTCCTGGGGGTCCCCCCAGCCCTCGAAGAACTGTTTCTCCTTGGCGTACGGCGCCTCGTACTTGTTCTGTTTCTGGGCCTCGTTCTTCTTCGCCAGCTGGTCGTCCTGGTACATCTCCTGCGGGTCGATGGGGTTGGCGATGCCCTCAAGCACCTCCTTCGTGTTCCCGAGGTCGCACTGTCCCTCGCACGGGAGCTTCACCGAGCCGTCGAGAATGCTCTTGACCGCCTTCTCGATCGACTCCATCCTCTGGACCAGGATCTCCGAGACCAAGCTCTGCTTCTCCAGCTGGAACTTCTTGCCGTCGTCCACCTCAACCTCCGAGACCGACGAGCTGTCCAGCTTGGCGGCCCGCCTGCGCCCATGACGCTGGCGCCTCTTCGCTTCCAGGCCTGTCTTGGGGAGCGCCTCGGCCCCCTCCCCGAACATGTCGTGCTCGGCCACGTTGCGCATCGCCAGGACGCCGCCGTCGACGCACGGCATTTTGCCTTGGGCCGCTGCCTCGACCTTCGCCCTCAGGACGGGCTGGATGCGCTGGACACGCGCCTGCACCTCCGCCTCGATATCCTTGTCCTCGAGCGGGCCACCGCCCACCTCAGCCCGGGCAGCGCGCCAGAGGCCGACCGCGACCGCCGCCACCACCTGCCGAGATCCGCCGGCACGAACCACCGCCTCGAGGAGTGCCGACGCCATCGGGTCGGCCATGACCGCGGCCCGCCGCACGGGAGGCAAGCAGGCTCTGAGCCAAAATGGCTACGGATGATGATGATGATGATGATGAGGAGGAGGAGGAGGAGGAGGAGGAGGATGATGAGGAGGCGGAGAAGGAGAAGGAGGAGGAGGAGGAGGAGAAGGAGGAGGAGGAGGAGGAGAGAAGGAGGAGGAGGAGGAGAAGGAGGAGGAGGAGGAGGAGGAGGAGGAGGAGGAGGAGAGGAGAAGGAGGAGCAAGACAAGGAGGATGAGGAGGGGGGAGGAGGAAGGGGGATGGGGGAGTAGAAGGAGGAGGAGGAGCGACGGAAGGAGGAGGAGGAGGAGGAGGGGAGGCCGATGGATGTCGGATGATGCTTATTTCTTTTTTTTTTTTTTTTAGTGCTTTTCTTACTCGGAGGCGGAGAGAGGCAGGAGGAGGAGGCGTAGGAGCAGGAGGAGGAGGAGGAGGAGGAGGAGGAGGAGGAGGAGGAGGAGGGAGGGAGGAGGGAGGAGGAGGAGGAGGAGGAGGAGGAGGAGGAGGAAAAGGAGGAGGAGGAGGAGGAGGAGGAGGAGGAGGAGGAGGGGGAGGCGTCCGTGGCCGCCTGCGGCCGCCGGCTCAAAGAGCCGCCTGCGAGAGTGTCAGGTTTTCACTGTGGATGCCATGGCAACGGACACGCTAACAATCCGATACTTGAATTTAAACTGTGTTTCAGATGTGTAAAACATGTTATACCAATGTATCAAACATACATATATAACAAATCTTAATCATGTTCGAAGCAGGTTGTAGACATCTGGTAATTATTTGGCAGCAAGCTTCCTCTCCATTGACCGTCCTCCACAAGGCTTCAACCTGCCTCGAAATGTTCTTAGAACCCAGACAATTTCCAATAACATAAACAATGTTCTCAGAGCATCCACCGATGTGTTAAAACAAGACGGTCCCAGCCAGAAGTGTTCTAAGAACATTGCACAGAAACCACAAAACAAAGGTTCTTAGAACATTCTTTGGTATACTTATGGGCGAACCAGGACGCTTCGCTACTGCTTAGCTGCTTGACAGGTCGGGCATGTCCTCCTACAGGCAGGTTTTGGGCGACAAAAACAACTCGCAAAAGCAGTACTAACTCGTAGTCGACAAATCATCAACATATCGCTCCCAGACTATTTTGATTTTTGCTCTTGAGTCTTCCTCCTGCAGAGGGACATGCCCGACTTCACACCTGGCCAGCGGAGGGCGACGCGTGTGCGTGTCGTCCTGGGCCGGCCCGTCCCCTCGCGTTGGGGCAGCGGGTGCCGAGGAAGCGGGTCCTGGGACCCAGGGGGCCTTCCCCCGGGACGAGGTCCTCATCCTTTTGGTGGACCCCAAAGGGGGGTCCAGCTGGAAGGGGGCGATGCAATCGGTTTGAGGCAAGTTTGTACTGCAAAGGTCTTGCGCCAGAGAATGGTAGTATTGCATCGTGTTGCAACGACGTGTTGCACCCTAAAGCCCAGCAAGACACCTGCGGCCTGGAATGTATTGCACGCCCCGAATCTATTGCAACCCGCAAGTGTGGGGGAGGAGGAGGAGGAGGAGGAGGAGGAGGAGGAGGAGGAGGAGGAGGAGGAGGGAGGAGGAGGAGGAGGAGGAGGAGGAGGAGGAGGAGGAGGAGGAGGAGGAGGAGGAGGAGGAGGAGGGGGAGGAGGAGGAGGAGGGAGGGGAGGAGGAGGAAGGAGGAGGAGGAGGTAGGAGGAGGAGGAGGAGGAGGAGGAGGATGGAGGAGGCAGGGAGAGGGAGAAAGAGGAGGAGAGAGGAGGAGGAGGGAGGAGGGGGAGGAGGAAGAAGAGGAGGAGGAGGAGGAGGGAGAGGGAGAAAGAGGAGGAGGAGGAGGGAGGAGGAGGAGGAGGGAGAGGGAGAAAGAGGAGGTTCACGCGAGCGCGGTGGGCACACACGCTCGAAGGCCGCTCGGCTGGCGCATCCCGCTCGCCATGGACGCGGTCGTGGCTCGCGCCGCGGGCGGAGCAACCGCGCGTGCGCCGCCAGGCTGTGTGCGCGGCCTCCTGGCCTCCGTCGAGGCGCGCGGCCTCCTCGCCTGCGCTCTCCATCGCGTGCCCTTCTGCATCCCTGCTGCATCGCAGCCCCCCCCCTCGCTGGATGCGACGCGTGAGCGCCTTTTGCCCAGTTCGCACGTTGGCTCAGCCCGCTCATCTCTCTCTCTCTCTTTCTCTTGCTCTTGCTCTTGCCCTTGCTCTTACTCTGGTTCTTACTTTTACTGTTACTCTCTCTCTCTCTCTTTCACTCTCTCTCTCTGCCTCTCTGCCTCTTTCGGCCCCACGCCGAGTGGGGCGGTGAGATGGCGCAGGCCTTCTCAGAGGGCGGCGGGGCTTCGGAGAAGCATCGGGAGGAGGTGGAGGAGGAGGAGGAGGAGGAGGAGGAGGAGGAGGAGGAGGAGGAGGGAGGAGGAGGAAGAGGGAGAAGGAGGAGGAAGGGAGGAGGAGGAGGAGGAGGAGGAGGAGGAGGAGGAGGAGGAGGAGGTGTAGGATGAGGAGGAGGAGGAGGCCCGAGCCATCGCTCGCTGGGACTCGCCTTTCCCGCGGGAGATCGCGGCCTCACACTGGACGCGGCCGCCACGCGCCACACACGGCCAATGAACCTCGATCCTCCAGCCGTCCCTCCTCCTCCCTCCCTCCCTCCTACCTCCTTCCTCCTCCTATTCATCCTCCTCCATCCTCTCCTCCTCCCTCCTCCCTCCTCCTGCTTCCCATCCTACCTTCCTCCCTCACCCTCCTCCCTCCTCCCTTCTCCATCCTCCCTCTTCCCTCCTCCCTCCCTCCCTCCCTCCCTCCCTCCCTCCCTCCCTCCCTCCCGTCCATCCCTGCCCTCCCTCACCTCCCTCCTCCTCTTCTCCTCTCCTCCTCCTACTCCTCCTCATCCTCATCCTCCTATCCTCTCATCCTCCTCCTCTCCCTACCTTTCTTCCTCATCTCCCCTCTTTTCCCTCGCCCTCCTCGTCCCTCCTCCTCCTCCTCCTCCGCCCGCTCCTCTGCCTCCTCCTTCATCCACCTGCCTCCCCTCCCTCCTGCTTCTTCCTTCTCCACCTTCTCCCGCCCCCCCCTCCCTCCCTCCTCCCTCCCGCCCCCCCTCCCCGAGGATCGCGCACGCATCCTCCCCTGCCTCGAGTCGGCCGGCCGAGGCGCCGGCGGCTTCGCGGCGCGGGCTGCGCCGCGGGCGTGCCCATGACTGGCCGACGCGGCCATCATGGGCATCATCCCCATCATCATCATGGGGTTCAATGGCCTCCCATGAAGCCCATGCTGCCATGCTCCTCCTCCTCCTCTCCTCCCTCCTCCTCCTCCTCCTCCCCCCTCCTCCCCCCTCCTCCTCCTCCCATGCTGCCCGAAGCGGCCATCATGGATCGGAGCCGGGCAAGCGGCGAGCGCATGGAGTAGAGTCAACCGATCCCCCCCCCCCATAACAGCCACCCCGACACGCGAAGTCGTTTACACGCGCCCAAACAAAAAGAATCGAACAGGGCAAGGCTGTTTAGTACACGCCCAGGGCCGTCTGAGAAACGCCAATTGTCCGGTCCGGGTGGTTTTCCCTCCCTTGATGGAAGAAGCGCGGGAGGGGGGAGAACTCCACCCACATTCCCGCGGAAGAATCAGCGTTGAGGTCTGCTCAGAATCGCCGACGACCCCCCCGACGATCTGCTCCAACCGAAGCGCGAGACGCACGGAACAGCCGAGGCCACTTCGATCATCATCATGGGGTTCATGGCCTCTGCACCGGAGTGCGCCAACTGCATTAGACGTGCTCGTGCCGTGACCACCAATCACCGCGATTGTGTTGTGGGCCGTTCTCGGCCACCTTGGGCCTTCGCTGGGCTCTGGGACTGTGAACAAATCGGCTCGGGATGACCAACCAGCCCTGGGGAAGCGGTCTGGACTTCTGGAGACCCGCATTTGAAACATCAAGACATCGTCTGGGTATACACCCACACCGATCCTGGCCAGGTCCATCCCGGGCCCAGGAAGTGTGTGTACGCCCTCCTGCCTTGGCGAGGAAGGCACATGCACCCATCGTGGGCCAAGGATGGGCCTGGCCAAGATCGGTGTAGGTGCATGATTGACGCTCTCTGGCTGGAGGCCACCCAGAAGGAGGAGGAGGAGGAGGAGCAGGAGGAGGAGAAGGTGGAGGAGGAGGAGGAGGAGGAAGAGGAGGTGGAACATGAAGAGGAGGAGGAGGAGGAGGAGGAGGGAGGAGGAGGAGGAGGAGGAGGAGGAGGAGGAGGAGGAGGAGGAGGAGGAGGAGGAGGAGGGAGGAGAAAGGAGGGATGAGGGATGAGGAAGGATGAATGAGGGATGAGGAGGAGGGATGAGGGATGAGGGAGGAGGGAAAAAGGAGAGGGAGGAGGGCGGAGGGAGGAGGGAGGAGGGCGGAGGATGAGGGAGGGGGGAGGAGAGAGAAGGGAGAGGGGAGGAGGGAGGGAGGACGGAGGAGAGGAGGGAGGAGGGAGGAGGGAGGAGGGAGGGAGGGAGTGAGAGAGGGAGGGAGGGACAAGCTAGGTGCGCTCGAGTCATATCTGACATCCTACCCCTCCCTCCCATCCCTTACCATGGCGTAAATCCCCTCTCTACTCGCACAGTCGGATGTCGAGCAGGGCAAGGATCCCGAAAGGGTACGCGATGCATTGTAGAGCACGGCATGGCATGGCGTAGAAGAGCACCGCAAAGCGTAGTATGTCACAGCATGGCGTGGCGTGGCGTAGTGAAGAATTGCATCACAAAGCTTTGCAACGCAAAGCATGGCATCGCACAGCGGCCCCGAACATAACATTGCATAGCATGGCGTTGAAGATCAAAGCGTAGCATGGCATAGCACGACGTGGCACTTAAGCACTGCATATCACAGCTTCAGCTGAAGGCATGGCATCGCGCAGCGGAACGCAACCTAGCATTGCATTGCATGCCGTGGCATGGCACGGGAAATGACGCCAGCGCTGCAGCGGGAGCACGATTCGGAACGAGCGGAAGCGCGGAAATGAGGCCAGCGCTGCAGCGGGAGCACGATTCGGAACGAGCGGAA